GGAGCTCCCAACAGCTCGGCTCTCCAAAGGAAAACATCCTTTATCTTGGGATCCCAACAGAAATATGACAGGCTGCCCCCAGCGACGGCCTGGAGCATTGGCTTGTCCCTGCCCGGCTCCCTCCCATGCTCCCAGAGCTGTTTGCTCTGCCAAACCGCCAGTGCTACACACTGGTGCCCGGTGCCTCTGTGCTCTCAGCGGTGAAAGCTGCCGGTGTGTTCCGCAGGTACCGTGACCAGCCTCTGCCCTGCGTTAGGTCTTACAGAGCAAGGTCTGCTGAGCTGCTCTTTTCCAGCTGCCGCCAACCGCTGGAGAAAGGACCTGGCTTGGATCAGCTGGGTGATCCATGCTGGCTCCCCAGGTCCAGCACAGGATGCCAGACATCAAGCCCGAGACTGTCAGCCAAACCCAAAGGGCCGAGGAACCTCTCTCCCGGCACTGGGCTGACCGTGGGGCTGGTGAAGACAGCCCCTGGGGGGCTGCGGCACGGTGGCGGGCCCCCATCTCCCCCCGTGTTCAGCCCCTCCAAGAGCAGGTGACACTGAGGTCAAACGCGGGCGAGGAGAGCTGCCAGGGCTCTGTGAGCTCCTTCTTCCTCAGCCGCCTGCGGTGAATGGAAAGGGGTGAAGGAATGACACGGGATACGAAGGTCCCCAGAGCTGAAAAGGAACTCGGGTGACCTTTTTGCCCAGACCTAGCAGCCCGTCAGGCAAAGAAACCCTCAGGAGCTCTCTGTGCAATGCCCCCAGGCACGAGATGCTGCTGGAAGGCCTGCAGAAGGTCTGAGGGGAACCTGCACGTGAGTAACCCCCTACAACAGGTTTATTCCCTCCAGCAGGCAGACACGGACAGCGTACCGCTGGGACGCCCCCAGGGCTCATAACTGGGATGCAGCTGGGAAGCTCCACGGGCACTGCCAACGGCATCATCAGGAATCAAGCCCAGGTTTCCACATGCACGGAAGCAGCTCACCCCCAGGAACCGGAGGAGAGAGCGATTCTGTGTCTCGTGGACAACAGCCCACGAAAGGCTGCACCAGCATTACTCCCGGGTGTTCCTGCCGGCTCATCCCGGGGGAGCGGGGCGGCAGGACTAGAGCAGAAACGCCCCTGTTTTCCCCAGCAGCCGTCTACTGAGCACGACCCCCCGGGCCGTCCCCAAAGCTGAAAGCCACAGGGACCCGGCGCCAGGTTTTTTGCGCTGCACTCCCCACTCCCTGGCCCCTTGCTCACCCAGTAAACGCCCCCAGGGTGAGCCCATCCCCTCTGCACCTCTCCGTGGGTGTCTGCCCCCCTGCCCACGCCGTGCTGGCTGCCTGGCTCACCCAGCTGCCCTCCTGGCCCCAGCCTGAGTCCTGGCCCCACTTCCACCCTGCCGAGGGGCAGCGGGTGCAGTTAACCCTGCGCTGTTCCTACCAACGCGCCCGGCGGAGGGTCGGCTCCGACAGGACTCTCTGCAGACCACGGAGGAGCTGTGTTCCAGCAGGCCCCACCTTAAAGACACCCTGCTGCCCCATCCAGACCGGGAACGGTACACGGATGGTAGGAGCTCTGTTCTAACCTTCAGGACATGCGATTAGGACCAGATTACCGAGGACGAGGCGTCGCCTGTTAAGACGTCTGGCCAGAAAGCCGAAACAATTACCTTAACCTGAGCACTGTGGTTGGCCACCTCTCTGGGGGTGCGAGCACCCAGCCGGCTCCTCATCTACCGCGCGGTCTATCCGTCCAATCCACGTCTCTCCTGTTTAGGGACAAGGATGCCGTGCGGGACGGTGTCGAAGGCTTTGCACAAGTCCAGGTAGATGACATCGGTTCCCGTGCTCTATCCACCAGGGTCGTGACCCCATTGTAGAAGCCACCATGTTCATCAGGCACGATCTGCCCTTGGTGAAGCCGTGTTGGCTGTCACCAATCATCTCGTTTTTCATATGCCTCAGCATGGTTTCCAGGAGGATCTGCTCCATGACCTTGCTAGGCACAGATGTGAGACTGACTGGTCTGTAGTTCCCAAGTTCCTCCTCCTTTTTTCCTCTTTTAAAGATGGGAGTTATGTTTCCCCTTTTCCAGTTGGTGGGATGACCCCCACAACTTCTGGGATACGAGAAATGCACCCCCGTCCCTCGATTAGGCCCCAACTACGCGCCGAGTACAACTGACTGCACCCCAACCACACCCCAACCTACAGACTAGACTCCAGCTACACTCTTACATAAGCAACCCCCCCTCAACCTACACAACCATGCGCCACCACGCTGCCTCAGCACCCCCAAACCCACCCTCACCCCCTGCGGGACCAAGGGCAGTCAGGGCCCTCATCAGGGCCCCTCGTTACAGCGCCTCGTTAAGGCCGCAGGAACTGCAAACCCGGTAGTTTGTTTCACAGCTTCAGCTGCCCGCCACAGCACCAAGACGGGGAGTGGGGTCACCAGCTCCCCCATCCAATGCCCCAAATACAGGGCCTGGTCCCAGCCCCGCAGAATGCCCAAATGCTCCCAAAACTGCAGCTTGTGCCCAAAATCTCCCCAACATACCCCAAAGTGAGGGCCTGGTCCCAGTCCCCCACATCCAGGGATCCCCTACCCTCCTGAGACCCCAAGTCCCCATGAAGTGCCCCCAGATGTTCTCCTGGGGCAATGGGGGGGGTGGGAGTGTCCTGCTGCGTCCTGGAGACTCTGAATCTGCCCCAGACCCTCCAAACCCCCTATGGCAAAATGGGGTCCCCCCATACCTTCCCCAAAGTCCCTGTGGAGGATTTTGGGTCTCTCTGTCCTGGTGGGGCTCCTCTCCACCCAGAGCCTCCATGGGTGCCCCCGAATGGTGGGTTTGGGGTGCAGGGAGGCCTAGGAACCTCTTGATAGCAAGGACAGGCAGTGGCATCAGGGGGGTCCCGGTGTCTTCGTGCCCCCTCACTTCAGCGTCATCCTCCGAATGAACTCTGCCAAAAGAGAGGGACAGGTAGTGGGGACAGGGACACGTCAGGGCCATGGTGGGGACAGGGACACAATGGGGACACAGCAGGGATAGGGACATGCCAGGGACAGGCACATGGCAAGGACAGGAGACACACTAGGGACACAGACACAACGGGGGTGGGGACAAGGAGACACTGCAGAGCCTGTGGGGTGGGGGACACCATGGGTTCCCAAGCTGGCAGGGACAGGGGACATGGTAGAGTCCCCAAAAAGAGATGACACAGTGAAGTTTGGCCCCTTGGAGACGGTGGCAAATAGTGGGATCCCACCTTTGTGGTGACAGGAGACATAGATGCTGTCCCCAACCCCATTCCTGTCCCTGCTGTGTCCCTATGCACAATAAAAGGCTCTTGACAGGGGGCTCAGTGGTGTCCCAGGCAGGTGACAGGGTACACGGAGGTATCCCAGGCCAACGGTGACAGCGAATTCAGTGGGGCACTTGGGGGCAAGGAGCCCCACGGGTTGGTGCCAGCAGGGACGTGTGGGTGGCAGAGGAGACGCTGTGTGACAGCAGGGATGCCTGGGGTGGCAGCAGCACTCATCCTCTAGCTGAACTCCCTGTCATCTTGTCCACCTCCGCATCCGTCAGCTTCTCCCCAGGTTGGTCATCACGCGCTGCAGCTTCACTGCGCTGACGTACCTGTTCCCATCCTGGGGTTGGGGATGTGGCGGTGACACCGCTGCATCGCCCATCCCCCGTCCCCATCCCTGTCATCGACCCACCTTGTCAAAGACACGCAAAGCCTCGTGGATCATCTCCTCGCTGTCTGTGTCCTTCGTCCTGCTTGCCGTCACGGCGAGGAACTCGAGGAAGCCAGTGGTGCCGCTGCCTGGGGCAGGGAAGGAGGGACAATGAGCAAGGGGACAGGGGTATAAGGGGACACGTGAGGCCACGCCAGGTTCCTCAGCATCCACCTCACTGACGGTGTGCTGCAGCTCAGCCTCGGTGGGGTTGTGGCCCAGTGAGCGCGTGACGGTGCCCAGCTCCTCGGCGGTGACGGTGCCATCCCTGTCCTTGGTTAAAAGTAAGATGCCTCCTTGAGCTCTGGAGACCACCACCAGGGGCTGGGGACAGCTGGGGAGGGGTCTGCGGAGACCCAGCCACACGCCTGTGTCTCCCTGATGGCCAGCACCCCCTCCCGTGTGCCCTGGTGCCACCTCCTTACACACCGGTGGCCCCTCCTGAGTGTGCCGCTGTCAC